CCTAAAAGTAAACTAAAATTTGTCTTCATCTCAAAATTTAAAGCCCGACATTATAGATACATGCTTTTTGTCTCATCATATTGACCTCATCTGTAAGTATAACATAGAAGAAGATAAAGGTTTACACCATTTCTACATATATTTGTGTATGTTCCTGTTATCTACAAACTGTCAGTGGAAATGGACCCTCTTTCATGTTCTGCTGTGTCCATTTGTTGTGTGTTTAAAGGAGAGACTTTGAAATTATCAACACGAACTAGAAGGAGGAGGATGAGCAAGCTCTCAGCACCACGCTCACCCAGAAACTCAAAGAACACCAGGTTGGTGAAACTACAATAGCTTTTTATTTTCACTATATTCTTAATAAGGGTTATTTGAAACTGTTCTTTCTTCTGTCAGGGCTAACAGGGTGTCAGAAGCACCGTACAAGATGCACACTTTAGCAGTTGTAGATGCTATTTATGCAAAACCTGAACTACAATTGTAAATTATTTTTAGCAGGACAGATGGCTGTACTAGTTGGTCTACTGTTTATACAGAAAGTTCCAACACTCTGAGTCTGGTGGTCATCTGACCTCTCTGACGACATCATTATGAAGCTTAAATTTCTATTCATCCATTAAATGTCTTACCAACAGTTGGAGGATTGTTCATTTTCTTTTGGCTGCTCCCGTTAGGGTGAGCCATACATCATCTGCCTCCGTCTCACCCCATCCCTAGCATCCTCATCTGTTACGCATATCCACTATCTGTCCTCTGCACATGTCCAAACCTTCTTCTAAACCTCAACCGGAGGAGTCAACCGGAGCCGTCTCTCTGATGTATCCTGTCCATCCTGTCACTCCCAAAAGAATCATTGCATCTTCACGCTACAGGATGAATTCTAATAAATACACTGATAAAAGTGAACTTTTATTGGAAGTGAAGAGAAAAAAGATTAAAGCTTGGTGAAAGCAAATGAAAGCTAACCGGACGGCTAAAATTACAATGATGGGAGCAAAGAAGCATTGCAATGTGAAAATTTGGAAATAGGAAAGTGAGACGCAAAAGAGGATACAGAGCAGTGATGATTAATAGTCTGGCTTTAAAGACGCAAGGTTTTTGCTGTGAGTGCTTATGCACGCGTTGATTCGTTTTCTATCCTCTTTCAGGGACGCATCGAGGAGCTGGAGGAGGAGCTGGAAGCTGAACGAGCCATGAGAGCCAAGGCACACGGACAGCTTGTATCATAGCAGTTTCATCTTTGAGAGTCTATTTCAGTCCAAACGTGATAAATACCTGACCACTACGCATATGAATTCAAGTAAAAAATACGCAGACATGTGACATTATGCTACAGCTAGAGAGTCAAGTTGTTTTCCTGTTAGGTAGAGAAGCAGAGAGCAGAGCTGTCACTAGATCTGGTGGACCTCAGTGACAGACCGGAAGAAGCGGGAGATCTCAACGTCACCGTGAAAGCTGCTCAGAAAGCAAAGCTAGATCTTTAGACTCTTGTGTGCTTAACTCTTTCAAAATAAAACAGCCACAAACATAGACGCTCAGCCACTCTTATAGATGAACTCTGAGGCCCACAAAGTGGAGGACAGCGTGTCGGAGGCAAACGCTTGCCTGGCTGAGATGGAGCACACTCAGACAGAGCTCAGTGCTGGCAAAATCCATCTGACTGGTGAGAATGCGAATGCATGCGTTACTGTTCCTTGTTGAGCTGGATGCATCATGCATTTGCCTCTCCACCTCTCCATCCAGACTACCTATCCACAGGCTCATAACTCAGCCTGGTGAATGCCCTGCATGATCTCTTGCAGTTAAAGGAGCAGCTGGATGAGGAGTTAGAATCCCGTGGGGAGATCCAGCGTCTTGTGTCCAAGCTCACTGCTGACGTCACCACATGGAGGAGCAAGTATGAGACGCCATACGCCGCACCGAGGAGCTGGAGGAGACCAAGTAGGTTCAAAAGAATTAAAAAAAAAGAGTCTTATGAATCATGACAGTGATAAAATTTTAATTTAAATTCCACTCTGGTTCTTTCCTCCCACTCTCTCCCAGGCGCAAACTTGCAGTGCATCTCCAGGAGGCTGAGGAGGCAGCAGAGGCGGCTCAGGCCAGAGCTGCCAGCCTGGAAAAGGTCAAGCAGAGGTTGCAGGGAGAGATGGAGGACTTCACTATATACCTAGAGAAGGTACACATGCACAAAAACAAAATCTCAATGTGTACAGGACACAGAAGCACCAGAGGCTATTACACGGCAGAGGTCATGCACATGAGGTTAGTTGCTAACAAACAAATCCAGCAGAGAGCAGTCAAGAGGCAAAATTCCAATAAACAAGCAAAGTGTTTTCAACAGCACTGGAAACAAGAGCAATGCTGGAACGTCTGATTATTCAAAGCTATTACTTAGAAACTTAGTTACCCAACTAATTTCTGATCCAGTTATCCTCACCTTTTGTGTGGATAATGCACTTCTTTATTATATTAATGCTTTCTGTAATGATATATCAGCAACAATTAATAATAATAATGAATCTAACTAACTGAGTTTGCTATGTCTGCCTTTGTGTAAGCAGTCCAATGCGGCAGCTCTGGATAAGAAGCCGGGAGTTTTCCATAAGATGGCAGCCGAGTGGAGCCAGAAGGATGAGGAGCTGCAACTGGAACTGGAGAACAGCCAGATGGAGAGCCGCTCCTACATGATGGAGATCTACATGCTGGAGACGGAAAGCCAGGATCACTTGATGACTGTCTGCAAGGAGAACAAAACCCTCTCAGGTGCTTTCTAACTTGTCCATTACAGCTGATCATAACTTGCAAGCATTTGAAGAAAGGAAAATATGATCCTCAGTGTTAACTGTTGCGTTTTTATTTCTGTGCCATTTGCTTTCAGAGGAGATCAAGGAGTTGACTGTCAGCTTGGGGAAGGAGGCCGCAGCGTCCACAAGCCAAGAAGAATGTGGAGGTGGAGAAAGAGGAGCTGCAGATGACTCTGGAGGAGGCTGAAGCTTCACTGGAAGTTGAGGATGTGCCTTATTTTCCCAGTGTTTTAAAAAATATTATGATGTTATTTAGAAAGGTTTAAGATTTGACATGTGACATGAGTGAAAGAAAGCAGACACAGTGTGTGTGTGTGTTTCCAGGTGGAAGAAGGTTGGTGCTGGAGCTGGCAGCTAATTTGTGTGTTTCTGTAAGAATAGCAGGCCAACAGCAGCCTGTTTAAATACATGAAGACCATCCATGACCTGGACGATGCTGAGGAACGGGCTGAAATGGCAGAGATGACCCTGACAGGAAGTGGTGAACAAGGTCTTAAACTATCAAGAGTCTTTAACATCACTGATAGTCTTAATCAGTGTAGTCTTAGGAAATAGCCTGCATGCTGTTGATGTTTTTGCTGATGTGCTGTAAATGTACTGTATGTGTTTTTGTGGAACATCGGGTTTGGGGCTTTGGTTGTTGCTCTTAAAGTTTTGCAAAACTTTTAGATCCTGTATTGTCGATTAACATAGCAGAAAAATGTTTGAAATGTTTTTCTGTACATGTGGAATGTGATTTATATCATCTCAGCGTTGGTGCATAAGCCCTCTAGGATGGAGTGGCTAAAGCTGTGGTCTCACGTCAAGGATAGAGTCCACCCTCGCGTGTGAATGTGTGTGACCTGCTGCAAAGTTCAATAAGCTGCAATGAAGCAAGTTCTTGAGCACATTATTACTCTAGTAGCAGAAAATTTGTATCTTATTGTATTTATTTATTTTTTCCTTGTAGGTGATTCAGATTTGGTCGACTTTCCTTTAAAGTGGTAGCGTTTAGTGTCTACAAAAGATTCTGACAAATGGCTCCTTCACGTCCTGAAATGTTACATGAAATGTGTAATTCAGTTCAATTTCATTTCTAAATCTGGACTACTTTGAAGTTCAAGTTCGTGGCATTGTATTAACACACAGTGCCAAAAAATTCTCCTTTTACAGGTGCTCACACTTGCCGATGATCAGTTAATGAAGTGCATTTGATTTTCAGCACCTGGCTGCTATGTCATGTGGAAAAAGTAAGGGTGTAAGTATTGCTTTTGTACTGTCAGGATAACTTTGACATTATGGCTCTTGGCATTACCCCCCTCACCAAAAAAAGAAAAGAAAAAAAGCATATTCTGACTGAGGCAGTTGGAAAGGGGAACCCACATCACATATGAGCAACATGGGGTACTATAAAAAACAAATGGTAAATGGCCTGTATTTATATAGCGCTTTACTAGTCCCTAAGGACCCCAAAGCGCTTTACATATCCAGTCATCCACACATTCACACACTGGTGATGGCAGCTACATTGTAGCCACAGCCACCCTGGGGCGCACTGACAGAGGCGAGGCTGCCGGACACTGGCACCACCGGGCCCTCTGACCACCATCAGTAGGCAACGGCCAAGGACACAACAACCGAGACTGTCCAAGCCGGGGCTCGAACCGGCAACCTTCCGATTACAAGGCGAACTCCCAACTCTTGAGCCACGATCGCCCCATATCGTGGTTGTGCAATGGAAAGCTAAAAATTATTTTTCACCTACACGGGCAGGGCTCGAGTCCCACATGAAGTCAGCACTGACATGTACAGAGCATGCACACATCCCCATGCTCTTTTAGTAGGAAGGGCATTAAACTGAGATGGAAGGCAGGTCTATTTTTTAGATGCGATGTTATGTTACAGCACACTGCTCTCACTCGGGCGTTCTGGTCTGTGGGTCAAAGGCTTCTGCTTAGCAGGAGTCATTCTTTCACATACATATTATAGTAATATTACAGTGTGGCATAGAGGATGTCTGAAATTATGTGGTAACACCTAAAAGTATAAAATTCCGATGCTTAAAAACAAATAAAATAAAAACTGGATTTTACCTGACTTCTATTGCTCCAGTAGCTGTGATGCTGGGTAACACATCCTCCCATTCAGTTGGCCTAAGATGCTCTTTATAATGAATGCAAGATGCCAGTGCAACAAGAACAAAAGGCACTTAACTTCATACATCAACATGAATTTATTTTAGTTTCAGATGAACGTTTCACATTTTATACAAAATCATTAGAAAATGCCCGACACTCCAAACTCCCACATCTAATCCTTACTTGGTGGCTTCACACACTGAAAAGGATTATTTGGGGAATCATGCAGCATCCCGGCCCAGATGATGAGGCTCAGCCCGACCTCCAGATCACAATCGAATGACGATGCTCAGCTTGCTCGTTGGCCAAACACTCACTATCCCTGCGTGACACAGTGATATCTCGCCACATCTAATAATGTACAGAGTAAGATACAGTAGGATGAGTTGTTAAGAGGAGACCGGAGAGCTTCCTGCCTTTCTCCGTCGATCATCACCAACCACCGCTTAGATGTATGGACACAGTACCACATCAACAACACCATGCATGTTTTCATACGCATGACACATCATTGGTTATGATTAGCTATGTAGTTTTAAAAAAAACAAAAACAAGATTGATAGTTTAAAAATTAACCAATGACTGCAGGCCTGAGGACAGGGAGAGGGCAGGAGAAGGTCCACTGAGCCTCTTGTTTGGATGAGGTAAAGTGAGCAGGGGCAGGTGTATAAGCTCATGACTAGATGGTTTGCTAATGTACATGCCCGAGCACACACACGCACGCACGCAAGCAAACAATCACATATTTGTCAACACCTCTGCCTCATGCCAAAAACCTTAGACTGATGCCCCGCCCTCTGCAGGACAGTGTACAAGAAAGTGTGTGTGAGAGAGAGAGAGAGAGAGGGGAAGGGGTCAGAAAAGATAGCACACACCCTCGATTAAGATTGAACAAATGAAAGAAGATTTTATTCAGCCAATGAAAAGAGGTCGCCCCTCTCAAACACAAAAGAGCCATCACAGCAAGGGCAGAGAGGCACTTACACAATCGGTTTCTACTCACACACACAGGCTCGCTGTGTGTGAGAGAGTGTCTTTAACAGCGACACAGCTACATTTTTTATTTTTTTAAATGACACTCACACTCTCAGATACTCATTTTCACACTTAAGCTTTTGGCACATGTACATGCAAAGCTTCAGTTTGGCCTGCTCAGGCTAAACTGAGGGAAAAGGGAGCGCAGGAGGGAGGGGGGGAGAGAAGAAAAAAAAAGAAAAAAGACGACGTGTATGTGAACGGATGGATGCATGAACAAACTGGTGGACAGGCTCTTGAACACTTTAAAAGAAAAACAAAGACACTCCCCCTCCCCGCCTCCATCTTTGATCCTGTCCACGCCCCTTTCGGGGTCACGTGTCTCTAGCAGCACCAGAGGAGGCCTCTGATCGGTGGGTACAGCCATCAGTCCAGTCACTCGGTCTCGAGGATGAGCGGCGGTTGCTCGTTGTCTTCCTCTAAGCGTAGGTCGCTGAGGTCGTCGTCAAGCCCCACCCCTCCCACAGCGCCCTGCTCTTCACAGTAACCTAGGAAAGAAGAGTTCACAAGTCAAACATTGATGAGATTTCTTCTGATTGGATCACTTCCAAACTTGTCCCGCCTTTCTGCACAACTTAATTACAGATAGTCGCTCCAGAACAGCCATCTTTACAAAATAGAAAAAAGTTTATTCGTTTTTATTATTAGTTTTTATTTACCTATTGCCTTTTTTTCCCCAATCAGAAAAAAAGAAAGAAAGATATCAATACTGTGTCACCTACCCTTTGAGACAGCAGCACTGTAGGTCTGGGCCACAAGTGGGCGATCATGTGACCCCTGCTCAAGGATCTCATTGGGGGGCTCGGTACTCCCGTCTAACCTGAAGCCAAAGACTGAAATCCTCAGTTTAACTCCCCAAAATTTACCTTACCAGCTAAAGCGAGCCACAATCTGCCAATGCTGTGTTACCTGTGCTGCTTCGTTAGTGTGCATTCGCCTCCCTCTTGTGGATCCAGGTTGTACATATACAGGTAGCCATCAGCCGCTGCTACAAGCAACCTGGGAATCTTCTGAATCCTAATTTTTAACAATTAAAAATGGAGATTCATGAAAGATCCACAAATCCAATCCAAAACGTCAATCACATTTATCCTCTTCAGCATCTTCTCTTCTTCAGCACCAGATGTGACATACCAAGCAGCTAATAAGAATCCTACAAGCTCATTAATATTTTCCAGTTTCCTATTCTTAGATTCCTCCTCTGATTCCTTGGCACACAGATGAGGAGCGGCAGAGATGACGGATGTTACATTACTCAAGTATTTGCATTATTTTAAGTGCCTGTCAGAAGCTCAGGACCTATTATGGAAATGCTACTAACTTCAGCTCTCCATACAAAGTGGCACAAAGGCAGAGTGACAGAAGCCTGCACATCCTCAGGAAAACCACCTTGTATAAACTCATTTTGATTATTATTAATATTAATTATTAATACTACTCGCTACAACTTTAAATTGAAAAAAAAAAAAAAAAAGTAGGTCAAAGGTGACCAAAGATTAAAATCAGTCAGTATTTTAAAACTTCCTACAATCAAAGTGCAATGTAAAAAAATTGTGCTAGAAATTTTGTATGACCTGTGATTGTAAATTCAGTCAACGCTACTTCACATTTTTCCCCCCCCTTTTCTCTGGCGTGATAAGAAAAGTAACAATTTCATAATGTCTCAAACGCAGTGCTGCATTTGTGCTCACTGCGAGTGTGGAAAGTGTGTACTCACACAGCTAAGGCGCAGATATTCTTATGCCCGCAAAAGGGTAGACGTACGGTGGCGAAGGCTCGCCCCTGGGTAAACATTTCCGTGACTTGGGAAGGCAGGTAGGTGGTGGACGCCATCAAGACCTTCCCCAGGTAACCTCCCCACGTGGTGGGCTCCTCGGCTGGCCTGAGCGAACACGTACAGAATGTGAGATGCATGTTTTCGTTGGAGGAAGCAGCAGCTTGATAAGTGGCTACGAAACAAGCCATCCAAAGACAGACAGCTACGTACACATACTTCTCCTTCTGTGTTTCTAATTTGAAGATGTGGACCGTCTCTGTGTTGCTGGAGGCAGAAAGGTACAGGCTGTCCATACTGAACGCCAGCGAACAGATGCTCACGCACCTGAGAAGACAAGCACGGCAACACACGTGCATAGAGGAGATGGTAAACGCGTACAAAAGCGTGCACAGATGTTACGAAGAATCAAAACTGCAGTGCATGAGCCGTCTACCTCTTGACTCCTCGTCGAAACTCAAAGAGCTTCTGTCCCTCTGGGATCGAGAAGACACGGATGACTGTACCCTGAGAGGAAGTGGAAAAAAAAAGGCACAAGATGTACAGAGTTTCAACACTATTACAGGATGCAAGAATCAAAATCTGCATTTCCTCATGTGGAAAACAAAATTAGCTGCGGAGATGACAGGGTAATGTCCTGCACAGCAGCTGAACTACCTTCTCTGATGCTGTAGCCAGCTTAGTTCCAGTAGCATCGAAAGCCAGAGCCGCTAATGGGCTGTCGTGGGCTGGAATCATATTTGCTGCTCTCTGGAAAACGACACACAGATTAACTACTTTACAAACCTGCTTTCAGGCCCAGAAACACCTTCAGACAAAAACAGCCAAACGCACAATAAGCACTGCAGGAGTGCTCAGACCTTTATATAAGAGAAGCCAAACCACCAATTTACAAAACACACGGCACAACACAGGAGAACCAGCTGAAGAGGAAAAGACTCAACTCTAAGCCTGCACTTTAAAGACAAAGGTCGCTCTTTCAAAGATGCAAATGTTCACATTTTAGGCCGAGAAGATGGAAAAGTAAAGGAGGTCATCCACGTCCACTATGAAAGACCATCAATTAACCAAGTTTGTGATTCCGGTCAGACACAGGGGCCATGCAGTCCTTCAAGACTCCTCCATCACTGTGTGTTGCTGGAAGCGCATGAGTTAAGTATTTGCTGAATGGTGATTGGTTGACTAGATCAGGGAGCGACAGCTGAATTAACCAGCAACGCTTTTAAAAGTAATAACTGTGGTTCTTCACTGCAGCTGGCTGACCGACCAATAACAGCACTGCCTCCATCTGACAACAGAGCTCTCTGCAGGCAGACGGCTCTGTGCCCCGACTAGAGCGACTACATCTGCTGTTACAGGCTGTTCAACCCCCGCTCGCACTCACACTGTGCCTCAGGAGACCTCAGCAGCCACACAATGGTTGGGCGGGGCAGTGGCTGACGGAGGTTTCACACTTCGGTGCTCAGTGATGTAATGACCCAGTCTTTTTTCACAACTTGGCTGATGATTAACAACAACCCTTAGTGGAAAACCCCCACTAGGTGTTAAACACCTCTCAGCCCAAGTAGTTTTAAAACTGAAGAAGCCTCTTTGATGAACCTAAAGAAATCCAGCTGATTTCTTTTCAAGCACTCAAAGCTACCATGACCTGGACGACTGAGTATCTACGCAGACATTCGTCAGAAACTGAAACACTACTGTGGCACAGCAAGCGTATGCCCCGGAAAATGCTTTGTAATAAATCCTGATGATGGCTTTATTTAAAAACAGGAGCACATAAAGTATCATTGTCTGGGTTCACCTACCAAGTTGACTGTGTCAAACACTTGGACCTCTCCTATCGTAGCACTGCCTGGGTATGCCAGGTAACAGTTATCATTGCTGATGGAAAGGGCACACAATCCTGGAGAGATACGAGCACAAAGACAAACTAATCAGTAAAAAAAGATGGAGAGAAAAAACAAAACGTGTCAACACAACCAACTACAACAATGGTATCGTAACATTAAAAGAAAAGAGGAGAAGAAATGAAGTCTTAGTGTTGAGAGTGGCAGACAAAACAACGCTGTTCAAAATAAACTGAGAAAATGAAAGTGGAGACACTTCTCAGCTGATACGAGAAAGTCATATTACTGCTTTCAGTGGGCCTCACTCATAAACCGCGTGAGCACACGTTACGCACAAATCTCTGAGTCGTACTCTGCAAACAAATTTTGAATAGCTACGTATGAATCTTGGGCTAACTGAACAGATGGTCCTTTCACTCCAGCTCTTTATTCTCTTTTGATTAGTTTTATTCATTCGTTTTTAAACCTATGCTACAGTCCAGATCTACATACAGTCATGGAGGCCCAAGATTTTTTCCCTTTCATTTTAAAATGAAAAACTAGATTTGTACATTTCTAAATATTCACGATGAGGCCCAATACAAGCACATACATGTAAAGTGGAAAAAAAGGTAAACTTTTATAAAAAGCACATATTACATTCACTATATTTTCCTATTTATATGATGATGATGACAGACTGTTTCTTCAGACTCACCTGAAGGGTTAGGCGGAGTCTCTCTAATAGTGTGCAGCACTTTCATGTCTCTGATGTTGTGTATATAGAGCGACTCTTCCAGGCACACAATCAGCCTCTGCGGAGGAACCACGCAACATCAACTTGTGTGTACTTAGCAAACAAAGTCATCATTAGAGGATAAATAAGCCTCTTCGTATTCATGAACACTGCAAACGACCCCTGGCCTACCTGTCTGTTGAGCTTCACAGCCAGTATAGTGTTTGAATAGGAGTAGTTGCAGATCTCAGTTCCCTTCTTGAAGTGACAGACTTTGAGCTTCCGGGGGGCCTTCAGACTAACTATAGCCACCAGGCTGCTGGAGAACAGACGCTCCACAATGCACACATCCTCAGTGTCAGCTGCAGGAGACGGACACAAAATTATTATTTCATCAGTGCTCTGACATTTTATAATCACTTATGTGATTAAAGGATTAGATCATCTTAAACAGTTTGACAATTTGGGCTTAGACATTAAAGCATCCCATAATAACTACAATACTGTAATAAATAATCAGCTGATGAGCAAAGGAATAAAGCTCCAAGCATGATAGTGCATTTGCAGGTGCCATAGAGCACTGTGCAGACCCACATACCCGTTTACTGTCACCAGGGGGCAGTGTCAAAAATACAACAAAGGAAATACGTGCTACGCTGTTGTTAGCGTAGCACGTACCATCCAGAAGAAATAACTCAAAAAAACTTAATCAGTGAAGTGAAACCAAATGTTAAAAACAGTAACCTATATCTGCTCCCAGTGAGTGCATTTCCCCATTCCTCTTTGTGGTGAGCTCTACCTTGTTTCCCCTTTCCTAGTTAAGCTAATTGAGCTACGCATTGTTGCTTCTTCATAGCTAAAGACTTACACCAATGTGTCTACCCTAAATCTTTATTTTTTTTTGACTCTACTCGAGTTATTTTCTGTGATTCAGACTTCAAAATATACATATCCACCTATAATGGAACAAAGAACCACAGTAGCATCACTGATAACTGAAAGAACTACTAAATGAAGTAAAGCTGAATTCATGTTTTTCTACTGCTATCATACTTAAAACTCAGCTTGGATCCTTTGTTTTAGTGATGATTAATAACATTGGTGGAATATGGGGCACAGCTGTGGAAGCGGGACATGCCACAAACAGGAGAACCACTACTTAAGGAAGCTGTCTTCTGATTGGCTGACATTTGAAAACAAAAGGTTTCAACAGCAGCCGTATGGGTTGCTGTCTCAAAGCCAGAGGAAATACAAAAGCAAGAGGGAGGGGAAAAAATTATTACTTGCGCAGATTACTCATAGTTTTAAACTGACCATGCTGAATGTGCACCATGTAACAGTGTGTATGAAATGTGAGCAAAACATTCTGGGACTGGGACTACACCCCCCCCCAATTATTCTCTCTTTGACAATCTTCAGCGTGACTGCTATTTTTAGATCACTCCATGGAAGTCGCGTTAGGTCTCATTGCATCTGCGCCTCTGTAAGACCTGCTGGATCTCCTCCAGTGTCTCAAACTTTATTTTCATTTTGAAGAGTGGAACAAGCTGTAGGAAGCCAAGCGGTCCACGTGGCGAGTGAAAATTGGTTTGGTGAGGCCAAGAAGAAAACTCCTGGTCAAGGGCCGGTGTCCTGCTGGCTTCAGGTGTGTCCTTGATCCAACACAGCTGATTTACATGGCTGAATTACTTCCTGAAGTTCTCCAGAGGCCTGGTAATGAACTAGTCATTTGATTCGGGTGCGTGAGCCCTAGAGGCCTGGAGTATTCCACCCCTGATCTAAACATCATCTCTCCGAGTCCAGAACTCTGCAGAGGGAGGGCAATTCATGAGGCAGGGTCCTAGGAATATTGAGCAATGATTTCTCACACACACACACACAAAGGGTCAGTGCTTATCTGCTTGCAAGTCTGAGGTCTGTGGTGAAACTGCAGCATGCACAGTTCCAGTGGTCAGAAAGGGACTTCCAGGGAATGATCCAAAAATACAGAGTGGGCTGGAATCTGTCTGGTCTTGCTCAAGAAGTATAGATGTGGATAGTTTTGCATTTTATAGCTAGACTGTGTGAACTTCTTTCCTTCTTTTATCTAGGGTGCAAAAACAATCAAAAAGCTAGCCTTTAACACTTTGTTTCATGAAAGAGTCGAACGAGCGGTGTTCAGAAATTGTAGAAATGGCTTTCCCATTCTCTTGTGCTGACTATAAAACTTAAATCACCTACTCCCGTCTTCTTCTTTGGTATTTAAATATAAATTAATTAGCAAAAAAGTCAGAATACAACATATAGGCTAATAAAAGGGATGCAGTAGAAATCATATGTAACCTTTGTCCATATACAAGGAGGATGGTTGATGCTTAAGCATACTAGTGAGAGGAAAGGGCAGACATACTTCATTAATTATTTAAAGTAAAAGCACTGCACGAGTGGTATAGTGACTCCAAACTAACAGGAACAAATGCAGTAATTCCTCATAAAATATAATTAAGCAATGAAGTAACAGTTTTTATAAGACAAGTACCTTTAAAGCCAAATAACTTAAAACAAATTATTTGCTCCGCTGCAAATACCTCAATGGCCAACTACATCTGGACAACTAGATAAAGGTATATCTGGCAGCCTCTCCAGCGAGTCTGTCCTGCAGATGGACTGCTTCAGACTGCAGCTGGTAAAGGTAGTCGGCCATTTTATAACCGGCAAACCTTGCAGTTTCCTCCTTCCCCTGTGCAGTTTTTCGCGTTACGCCGCATGGACCGATTATCTACCTGTTGAACGTTGCTTCAGCTCTACAGTGTGCAGTCGATCGCCGTCATCGGCATCAGTCATAGGTAGCACAGATGGAATCTGTGCCTGGGAGTGAAGGCTAACTGGAGAGGCAGAGGAAGAGCGACATCGAGGACCACCGCAACAGGGGCCTACTCTGTCTACGCCATTAGCATACACATGTGTGGTTAAATTACTGGAAAGAGTTTCATGTTATGCAGCCTCGTGCACCATTACCACCACCATTACACCCAAGTCGCACTTTCACAAAAACAAACCAAAAAAAATGCATGCCTTTAAAACAAAACACAAAACAGCTAACTGCATGCAACTATTGTGTGTGCATTCTGTTTAGTGATTGGATGAGGAAAACAAACAAACGGGTGAGTAGATGGAAGTAGAAAGCCAGAACAGAGGTCAGTTTATACTTACTACATTCATATATCTGCTCCAATTTGTCCACAGAGGACAGGGAGAAAAACTTGTATCCTGATTTGGTGCCAACAGCTAAGGACCTGTACATGACACAGAAAGGAAGCGTGGCAGTGACCAAGCACGGTGTCACAGACATACACTGAATAACAATGCACTCTGTGGTCGTTGTTACAGCCACATTGTATTAGTCTACACAATGAAAAACAGGGGGTTCGGTCTAATTTCAGTGATATCGACTAACTCCGCGTACCCTAGATACATTGGTCACTGTGGTCTCAGTGTGATTGTGATCACACGACTAACGCTGTGTTGCAATAATACCAGGCCTCTGCTGCTGAGAGCAAACACCGGCAAATTTAGTACATGACCGAGTTTAAATTTGACATGTCTATCTTAATCATATTAAAACAAATACAGTGACCCAGTTCGAGTCACAATTTCCTACAACAATTTCCAGCAGTCTTCCAGCTGTTCACCAGTAATGAGTCCAAAACACAGAAAAATCGAATTGCCTTTTACTATTTCTATCTACCGCCAGCCTGAATAAGTAATTACAATTACCCGTAGCAAATATGCGCCTACAGCACACTTAATTTACGAGCATGTTGCTAGTTAGCCTCGGACCACAAACCACTATGCTAGCTAGCAAGCTATGCTAGCATCTGATAAAATAAAAGGTAAATGGGTAGTTTAAAAGAGTAGCTAACCCAAAACACGACGCCTACTGATAGTCTTTTCTAGCATGACAAAAACTACATCTAGGAGATTTCAAATCCATTCCTGTGACCCCGCTAGGCGTCCAGACAAGTCCAAGCTGGGTTAATTAGCATTAGCTAGTTTCACAGCACAGGCCATCCGATCCCAAGCCACTTTCCCCGGCCCTGCCTTACGTGTTGTCCTGGTTAAAGTTGGCGAAGAGCAGCTGGCTTCCGCCAGCGTCTCCGCTTTGACTGGCCAGGTTCATGGGTTCGGCACCATCGACGTATAAAGCTTCAGTAGAAATAGCAGCAGCTGGACTGAATACAGTGGTAAAGACCAGAAGTGTTGAGCTTTACGGAACCATCTCTGTTTGCTGCTCTGCTCTAACGATTGTTGTTGTTTTCCACAGGAGCTTGTTGCTCACCCCCAATACGCATGCGTTATGCGCACAGCGTGCAGTTCCTTTAAAGGGCCATGACAGATTTTAATAAATGAGCTCCCCGGACTCTAAACAGGAAACGATACAAAACAAAAATATGAAATGAACAAAAACAAAACATTTAAATAAAGAAAAACCCCACAAACAAAATTATGGTAAAACGGTAAACATACTGGTATCTCGGTTTCTGTCCTTTTTAAACCAATAGGGAGACAGAAACCAGGACCAATCACGACTCTATCAGAAGACTCCTCTGTACATTGAGGATTTCAGAGAACTAGCGCCCCCCATCGTTACATTGTGTAAAAGTCATCTAGAATGGAGGCGCTGCTAGTAAGCATTTATTCTACAGTTCCCATCTCCTCATAACACCAGCATGAAAAATTATATTGTTGTATCTTTAGCTTTAATTTAGTTTAAAATTTTAACCTCCTGTTATTCTCTTTTTTAAATTATTAAATATATATAAACAATCATCAATCGAGGCAACGGGATCCTCCCTAAAATGACGATAGTTTATAGTGAATTTTTAAAATGATAAAAAGTTAGTTTTTTTTCTAATTTGAAGCCTCTTCAATCTACAATTTATGTGCAAGTTTTGTGTTTATTTGCCACTTCTTTTTAAAATGAATTTTTGCACTTCTTATTTCTTACTGAGTGCAGTTCCTGCTCTACACTATTGCAAAGCAAACCTCCAAATAACTAAAAGAACACTGATTGCGTGTGTGAGATTTGAAAAACTCAATGTACTGACACTTTCACTTTCACATAGTCAGATCTTTGTGTTAGAGAGAGGCAAGTGAGTGCAAACTAAGTAATGCCTTTTAAAAAAGAGTTGCAACATTTCATACATCACCATTTTTTAGCCATTATCTGTTGCCTCTTCAGTTAATGTGCCGCAGCTTACAACATTTTAACAGATGCTGAAAGGATCATGTAGAGCAGCTTTCAACATATGTGAACATCAGATATTAAAATTGTATTACATATATGTCTAAGTAGCCCGCGTTTTTTCCTTTTAGTATGCCATATTACTGAAAAATAGAAAATTAAGCTTAATAAAGCCACTTATTTGGAGCTTTCTGTGCTTTTGCAAATGCCTTCAATGACTTCAAATGAAAAACGTTCTCTTTCCTCTGTGAATTCTCATGTGGGAGCACTGGACTAAAACCTTTCACATAGCATGACATAAGTCCCAAATTCTGGCAGTTGGAACAACAAAGTATAAGGCGTGGGATGAAAAGGAAACAGCGAGTGATCCCATCCACTGACTGAAATGTAATTTAGAGCATGAGTCATAGAATTTCTGTCTGTGTATTGGTTTCACTGGAGTTTCAGGTGTAAGTCTGAGCATGTTGGAGTGGAAATTATTCACTCACGCAAATCTGACAGGTAACGTGAAACACCAGGATGAGACAGTCTTTCCAGACAGTTTATCAGTGAGGATCTCCCGGGAAAACAAAAAGGAAGTGTATAATGTTGAAATACTGTCACCTAGTTGGCAGAGGGGTAAAACATACCTTAACCAGAACTCAGTCCACTGTGACAGACTTTTAGTGTAATGAATTACTCTGTTTACCTACAAAGATTCCACTAGAGTAGCTTTGCATGAGTCACAGTATAAAGAGGGATTATTATTAGTGCAGCCTTTCAGTTCATTCTGTGTAGAACAAGTTGTTTAAACTCTTTCCTCTTTAACACCACTTACCTTTCGTCCCATTGGCTGCTCCTTGCAAACAGAAGGTTTGAACAGCAGGTGGGTGGGGCTTGTGTGCCCACAGCCAGAACAATGACCTTTGATCTCGTTGAAAGTCTGGTGTATCCAGGATAAACACAAAACATATGGAAGCTTGGCTTTAAGAGCAGGAATCTTTAACCAGTTTCTCTCTAAGGCTCCTCTCAACATTATTTGGACTGTTTCAACACTATCTAAACTCTCATTATGAATAATATTTTTGCATTTTCATAACCATGGTGACGACTCTAGTTTTTTTTACACAATCAAGATCGATTATAGAGCATCGCACACACATTTATTATAACCAGTGACTCCACCGAGAGCTTTTCATTCCTTCGTCTGCTCCAGTGCCTTCATCGATCTGAGTCAGCCGTGTCCTTTGGACCAGCCTGCCGTTTCCAGGGGCCGGGTGGCCGCCTCTTCTCCAAAGGTCTGTCAGCACAAACATGATGGGCAGAGATGTGCAGACATATCTGGCTTTTCAAACAGAAAGCGAAGCTGCAGTCCTGGCATTTGAGAAATTTAAAGGCGATTACAGTAGGAGACAGAAACCAGCATGTCCTGCCTACACAGATGTTTGTCACCACACCCCAATCTACCAGCTGTGTTACAGGATGTTTGTTTAAAATACATTCAGATACGCAGTGTTTAAAACTGACGTTTGAATGTTTGCAGTGAGGCTAACCACAGGCAGCTGGTTGCCTTTAGGGGCGTATATTTATAAGTATTATTCACCTGAACAAATATGGTTGTCAGGTCACTGTCCCTGATATGGAATCTTATCTGCAAACACAGCCGGGGTGGTGGCAGCAGTGGTGGTCGCCTGTGTGTGTGTGTGTGTGGGTGTGTGGGTGTGTGGGGGGGGGGGGGGGGTAAATGTATAACACATTTCTCTCGCAGTTTGGGTATCTGTGCATTTGCATAATGGGTCTGTGCTGTCGCTCACATCTGCAGCACGGTGCCAAAAAGGGCTTCTTCTGGCCACTTTTATTGTTGGATAATATTTAATTTTCCATTCAGTGGAGCGTATGTGTTTGAAAGGAAGAATGGGGGTGGTGGGGTTGTGTGTATGTGTGTGTTTATGAGTATGTGTGTGTGGGGGGTGTCTGTAAAATGCTAGGCACATAAATGAACTGTAGAGCCAGCAGTCAGCAGTGTATACTTTCTGTTATACACAACATTTGTGTATTTTATGGGCACAGAAGAAAACATTGCTACAGGGAAGGACTGCATAAATTTAAACACTGTTAGTCCAAGTCCTAGCAGCCTTCTTCTTTACTTTAAATACACTTGCTGGCCACTTTATTGGGCACATCTGTAATAACCTAGTAATCTAATAATTTTATCAGCCAATCAAATGCTTTGCAACTTACTGCCCGTATTCATGTAAGCATGGTCAAGATGATTTACTGAAACGGAGCATCAGCATGGGGAAGAAAGGTGATTTAAATGGTTGTTGGTGCCAGATGGGCTGGTAAAAAAATGCCTTGTTGATGCTAGAAGTCAGAGGACAATGACCAAATGGCTTTTCACTGTTAGGAAGGTAACAGTAACTCAAATAACCACTTGTTACAATCAAAGTATGCAGAAGAGCATCTCTGAATGTACAACATGCTAAGCATTGAAGCAGATGGGCTACAGCAGCAGCAGAAAACCACATTGGGTGCCAGTCATGTCAGCTAAGAACAGGAAACTGAGGCTATAATTTACACAAGCTAGCCAAAATAGAATAACAGAAGAATGGTCTGATGAGACTCGATTTCTGCTTCGAGATCATAAAATCGCATAAAAAACATGGAAGTGTGGATCCATTCTGGCTTGTATCAGCAGTTCAGGCAGCTGTTAGAGGTGTAATAGTGTGGGGGATATTTTCTTGTCACACTTTGAGGCCCTTGGTACCAACTGAGCAGCGTTGGCTCATTAGCCTGAATGAGTTTTGTTGCTGACCAAGTTCATCTCTTTATGACCACAGTAGTTAAGACACCTTAATCATCTTAAACTTGAACACGACAACAAATCCTCTTTAGTTTGGAAACTATTGCACAAAGAATTCAAACGGCTATAACTTTAGCTTATAAAGTGGCCAGTGGTGTAAATATCAAAAATCTAATAAATAAAATAATTCCAGTGGCTCCAAACCTTGAGGTCACTTCTTATTTGGAACATAAGCGAATAGCCAATAGAGAAATTTCTTTCTTTCTTACTATTTTGTTTTTCCAATCTTTTGCGAAATTTCTGCATATCTGTCCTTCCCTGTTCCTGGACTTTATCTAAATGAAACGTCAGAGGAAGGGGATTCCCTGGAACAACACAATAGCACAACAGAGTGATGTAAAACTACTTTCCCGTGAAGAATGTTGAGAGAATCCCATTGAATACTTTAAAACTACAAGCTGTGTTAACTCAGCTGGTCACAGTTTTATTATATGAATCTCTTGAAGTATATGAAGTTATTAAGAAGTCACTCAAACCCCCAAACAGCTACTTTAAAGCACAGTGGAAAGAAATTAGAGCAATAGAAACAGTAAAGGAGATAAATAACAAACAAACTAGGTAACAGAAGTAAATGTCTGTCCAGGATGTGTTTGGCATCATTTTCGTTACAACAGCGCTCGCTCCAGTCTCTTGAGTTCAGTTGACTCATTTGGTCAGGTTTTGTTATCACCTTTGTGCCTCCCTTCCTGTCTTGTTTCAGTCCGGGTTTGTGTTTCAGAAGCGACCTGTTCACATGTCACACTTGCAAGTCACAGCAGAGGGTGTTGGTGCTTTGTGGTGAGGGGTTTGCCTTTCGCTGGTGAAGTTAGCAGCAGCCAGGAGAGCGAAAGGGGAGGGGAGAAGAGGGCAGGGGAGGGGTTACGAGCCCAGTCCCGCGGAACATCCTGCGACCACATCTGAGAGAGTCGGAACGAAGCTCGGCAAGGTCCCCTCACCGCCAACTCCTCTTGCTGCCCGCCGATCGTCGCTTTCGTGCACAGTCGTTTAAACCCCGGAGCAAGCGCGGGCCGGTTGTCCTGGTGACCCGCTCTGCGATTCGCAGGCTCTCCTGGACTTATGTTTTTATCTCTGG